CTTGCTGAGCGTATACATAAGCATCTTTAGCTATGGTCTCCACAAATAACTCCTGTAAAGCAAAAACAAGACAATTTCACACAGAGAACGTGAGGGAAAGCAGAGAACATTTTGCAGGCAAAGAGCTAAAAAGCAAGGTCTTACAAGATTTTAGGGAGAAACCAGAATTTAAGCTTTCCCCTTCCAACCCCTAGCTCTGAAAACAGCAAGGATTGTCATGCAGTTCCTGCTGGACAAGGGAGAAGAGCGGGCTGAGTTAATTAGGCAATTAGAGCTGGTTCCTCTGAACGTGTCTGGAGACCAGCTGCTCATCATCTGTTCAGGGCACTTTTGAATGAGGATACAACCCGTCCTGTGCTCGTTGGATAAAGCGGATCAAGCAACTGCCACTGTCCTCGCATGCCACCCAGCGGCATCCTGGCTGGAGGAAGAAGCCACCTAGGAGCAAATATGAGAGCTGCTGCAGGAGGATCCTGAAATGGAGAGAGAAGACTTTGCACAGGGATGCTTTTGCATGGGGATAATTGGCACGATGCTTGAGTTTCCAAGCCCAGCCAGCCCTTCTTTCGCTTCTCCAGGTTTCTGTCAGCAGCATTTCTGAATTGGGGCTGAGCAAGAACAAACTGGTTGCAGTCCTTGGAAAGTTTCCATGCAACCCAGAGGAAACACAAAAGGAGAGTGGCTCAAATCTCCCATCCCAGGAGACCTCAGCAAGGACCATGAGCTACCAGGGCTTCCCGCGGCAGCTCCGTCCATTTCAAGGAATGCCAGAACAGGCCATGGGAAGCATGGAGCACAAACCCCTCAAATCCTCAGAAAATACCAGAAGAAAAACCCAAGCGAACGGGTCAGCGTCCTCCAAACACCGAAAGCACCACAAAACACCTCAGAAACCTGGTACCAACGCACATACTCAAGACAGAGCCTGGCAAAGGGGCAGGAGGATCCCCAAATAGCTCTGCCGCTCGAACACGGCTTCTTCCCCCCAAAAAGAGGCCTGACAGCAACAAAATGAGAAATGCAAGTAACAATATTCCGAGCACAGGTGCCAAGGAGACGCTCTCAGCACTGGCGGTGCCGGCGCTCGCAGGGATCATCCCGT